TTATATAATATATATGAGTAGTTGTTAATGTTATGGACGTGCGTACGTAAAATCAAATTGAATTCAATTAGATTATTTTCCATAAAATAGTCATTTGTTTATAATGAAAAATAAAATATTTTTAAAATAGAAAAAACCTGAAAATACTTCTATTATAAACAAAAATAAAATTTTGTTGTTAGAATAAAATTTAAAATAAAATTAAATGTTTTTATTATTGAGAAAAATATAGAAATTTTTTTTTGGTGCTCACTAAACAAAATTGTTAAAAAATTAAAATGTACGCATTAAATTAATTGTTATTTGAAAAGATTGATTACATTAAAATTTGTTTAAAAAATTTGAAATCCATCACTTAAAAATGAGCACAAAAAATTATTCGAGTCTCGATATTTGATTCTTTTCTTATTATTATTTATTACTATGTAAAATGAGAAAATAATGTTGAATTAGAAATTCTCGTTTTCTCAACTTTGATAAGATTCTTAAATTTTTCAACCGCGACTCAACAAATTCTTGAACCGTAATTATTGTAATATTTTTGTACTGAACTCAAATTAAGTCCTTGAAATAACAAAGAGAGAATGGGACTAAAATTAATACTAAGAGAAGCAGAATTAAATGAGCGTTAGTTCAATTTTCTCTCACCTCGTGAGCAAGACATTCTAGCCTTATTCTAGTTGTCGCGTCACTTATGAGACATTTGTCGTTGTAACTGTCACATCATTTGTAATATGATATTCTGATTGTTGAGTGACGCGAGTGCGAGAAATAATCAAAAATGAAACATTTCAAGTGAAATTGATACATTTTAAAAAGAAATTTTGGCGAGTAAAGTTCAAACTAAAAAAAGTGTTCAGGGTAGTATATTCATATTTTTAAATAATAAAAAATGTCATTTGCATTATGGTTTACGGATTCATCTGATTCCGGTAGTGATAATATTAAAAAAAAAACAACAATTAAAGATCAAAAGACTTAGGATTAGAGACAGCTCTAATCCATTTTATTTGCCAAATGGAGTGTAAGCCAATACAATAATTTTTTCAGACTTCCAAAGGAGGACTTTGTATATTTATTGGATATATTCGAGGGAAAAACGAGTACCCGTAAAAGGCGTTCTCTGTCATGAAATTTCCAATTCTTCAAATTTATAAGTACTTTCACGCTAAAAACAAAAATTAAATTATATATTTTATGATTTAATTTATATATAAAATTTATTATCTTTTATGATTTTGTTAAATTGTTTTGTTTTAACTTGCATTTTTAGTGTATCCTTTTTGCTTGTCACTTGTTAAATACTTTTCGACAAAAAACGTCGTTTCACTACAACATATCTCGCATCAGAAAGACAACTAGAATATGGCCGAAACACATTTTCCTGCTATTTCCCGACAAGTGTCACTGCGATCACCGTTTAGAATATCAAATTCAAGTCGTAACGACAATTGTCGCTCTACTTCGACAACTACGAGTAGAATAAGGTTCATTGTCCCTATTACAAAGAATAAATTATTACTCACAATTCTAGTTTTTTCATAAATTGGCACTGATTGTTCTTACTTATTCGGATTTCTTTTGGTTTGCTCATAAATTTGGTTGAAAAACCTAAATTTTTTTTTTAAAACGAATAAATTTTTATCTTTCTAATTATATGTAACTTGGTGGAGTGTTACCATATTGACAACAAAATTGTAATTTTGTTTTAAACAATATTTGAATGAATTACTGATTTACCATCCGTTTAATAAATAAACCTGTAATATATGAAATGTAATAATAATATTGTAGGATATTTTTTGTTAATATATTCGCTCATTAATTCAAATACCAGTTGCATCGATAAGGTCTGCTGAACTGAAATGCCTTACACGTTTATGAATCAACCGGATTAGTATTTCAACTACAGCTTTCTAACAATTTTAAATACAACTAATTTACTCATTCCAAACATTGCTTTAGAAACAGGTGTGTTTACTCAATTTAATATTATAATTATATGAATAGACCATTTTTTTTTTCCTAAAAATTGCATACAAATTAGAATTTATAAAATATTTTTATTAAGAATTTTTGGAACAATAACCAATATCCTTATTAAAAATTTTAATTCAATTATTTACAGTCAATTAATAGAGTAAAATTACAATATTATTAAAGTATAATTATAAAATAAATTTAAAAACTTTAATTTTCATATAGGCATTAATTTTATTGTATTTTCGTATTAAATTTTATCCTCCAAACTATTTTATTCTTACGAGCTTTACAATTTTCCTATATCACCTTTAATATTCTCTAATGACCGTTCGTATTCGCATTCAATTTTCATTTTTTTTTTGTATTTTAACTCCACCATGTTTTGTCTGTACCTACACACAGTTATCATATATATTATGTTAATTTTAATAATCCCCATTCAGGATATTAAAATCATGTAAACAATGTAAAACACATAATAAGTTTACATTGCAATATTATAGAAAATTGTAAGTATACTTATGTACGTACAGTAATGTTAATAAAAATCGGAACACCTAAAAATTTAAGAATAAAAGACCTTTAACAGGTATTTAAGAAAAGGTAGACGTTATCTTTGTTCTAAATTAATATTAGACTTGCTATTGTGCAAGTATAAAAGTAGGGCACATGCATTGTATTCAGTTAACATTAATTTTGAAATTACAAAGATAAAATAAAATAAAAAAATCTCGCAATTAAGATCGAATGTAAAATTATTTATTATAGCTCTGCACAAGGAAGGACTGTCATTAGTCGAATTTGGAAACAAAAATGAAAGAGGCAATATTATTATTGCAAATTTATTAAAAATATATAAAGATAACGACAGCACTGAACGAGCTATTGGACGAGTCTGGAAGACCAGGAAAAACTTCAGGTGTAGACGACAAGTTTTTGGATTTACGTGCCGAGAACAACATATTCACTACTTCAATAAATCTAAACGCGGAGCTGGAACATGTACATAGAATCAAATTATCAACTTTTACAGTATGTAAACGACTCCTAGTGCAAGGACTATGTTCAAGAATTTTATTTGAAGCCTTTTAAGAACAGTGTAAGATTAAAATGGGCCAAAATTGCTCTAATGATATTTTAGAAAATGTTATCTTCTCAGGTGAATCTGAATTCAAACTTCATGTTTGCGATGAACGGCTAAAAACGAAAACCGACAAACGATTAAGAGCAGACTGCAAGAAGTACCTATTGAGACTAAGGTTAAAAGTAGTGGTTACTTATTTTATTTTTTTATGTTAAAAGTCTATTATTATTTCCAAGAACACATTTGGAATCAACTATTGAAAAGCAACTTCAGGCCGTATTTCTTTTGATTTAAAAAGAAAGTGTTACTATTTTTATGAGCACTACTGTATATGAATGTACGATTATATGTAGAAGTAATAATATATACTTATCTAATCTCAAATCAACAAAACAAATTTTTAATGTTTTGTTGTCTTTTTTAGGAATTCATTTCGGGTATAATTTCTAATTAAGTAAAATAGAAAGATTATACTTAATAAAATTTTATTTAAAAAACCTACACACGAAGTAAGTTCCTAAAAATTTTAAATATACACGTTGCACATAAAATAATAATGTTATTGTTTCAATGTTCTAGATTTATGAATAGCAGAGATTTCTGGTGATTCACAAAGCATATTAAGCGGATACAAATGTTTACGTACCTATATTATACATAGGCTTCTCTATATTATACATAGATATTTTATACGTGATGTTCCGGATTATAGAAAATATTTACACGTCGTGTAGATAATAAATTATGTTCATTAAATCAGAAATCTGATTAAAGTTGATTAAATCAGATAAATAATATACATATAAAATGCACATAAATACATGTATACATATAAAATGTTATTATCTTGTACCTGTATGATGATGTAATATGAAAATGTAATAAATAGACTAGATAAATGTCCTTATACATATATGCTTATAATGATGATTGTTATGATGATTTATGAAATATGTTTTTCCTTATCCATTATATTAAATTTAAATTATGTGCCGGTATTGTGTATTGTGGAGCTTTATATCTACTATAATCCCTATGTTGGGCTAGCGAAATTAACTTAAAATTAGATATCAAAAGTAAAGCAGAACGGATGCTACAAAAGAAATTAGAATGTTAATCATCATCAGTTTTATTAATGATAGAATCAGTAAAATTTTCATAATTACTCTTTCTTGAATTAGTTCTTATATATAAAATTAACCATAATATATTAATCATGAAACCAAATTTTTTAGAACCAAATGAAATTCATTTGAGGAAACAGATATGCTTGGATTAAATCAAAATATAAATCATATTTTCTAAGTATAAATCAGCACGTATATGACAGCAAGGTATATGCAGCTTAGACAATAGTATTTGTGTTTCATAAGAATTATAATTATTTTCAGTTCCAAATAAGGCACACTGCATCACCTGACTGGATTAAAAAAAGATAGATTAAGAGACAACACGTTTATTCTTAAAGAAAACACTGCTTAAACACTGAATCTAGTCTGAGCTGGGGATAAAAAGGGCTGCAAAGTATGTTATTTGGAGCTGAACGCTTATTTAAATCAAATTATTGGATTTAATATTTTAAGCGCCGTTTAAACCTCTTATCGAATTTAATGGGAACAAGACAGGACAATGTTCTAATTGGAGTGTCAATCAATAAATCAATGATTATCGGAAAATACGAATTTCAATATTTAAAGTGTTTAATTCTTAAATTCTAAGTAGCTATTTTCTTTAATATTATTAAAATAAAATAGATTTTAAATTCACAAGTTTGCGGTTCAATGCTATGAACTTAAATAGCTTGTAAAATAAGAATTGAAGATTGTACACAAATAATATAAAAAATTGTAAATTTATTCCTAAACTAATTCCCAATTTTGTTCTCTTAAAGTCTTATAAATTAAATTTAATCAAAAAGCAATTCAAAACTAACCAATTCTTATCCAAATGACTTCAAATTTCCAATCAGCTTCAAATTTTCGTTTTTTTTTTTATAAATATTCCAATTGGATCACTTTCAAACTTAATTTTAATAAGAGTAATGAATTTTAAATATTTTTCAAAATAGAATAATTTTTTTTCATAATCATTGGTGGAAAAAATTATGAAAATATTTTCTACTTATATTTTTTATTTATTTCATAATGCCACCATTTTATTTTTAAAATTAATAACACTAGGGTATTTTTTTTTTTAAATGCTTTCTTAACACACGTATTAATTTTCTTAAAGAATTTTAAATTTATTTTAGCCACAAAAATTATTTGCTATTTTTTTATACTCTTAATATTTAATTTTAACTTTTATACTTATAGATCATCACTTTTTATATACATATATAAATTTTTTATTTTAAATTTATTTCATACATTCTTAAAAAATATGAATTTTATTTTTATTTATTTTTGAAAATTTTTAAATATTAAATAGATTTTTTCGCACAACTTTAAAGAAGAAATATTTTTTTCTTTTTGTGTTAAAATTACGATAATAGTCATTTTAAATTTTTTTTTTTTAAATTTAAAGTTAAAATTTTCAAAATAAAAAAATATACAAATAATAATATAAGTATGGGGCTTAAGAAATTAATATTAATTTATTTAATAATTAATTTATTTTCATTTAGGATCTACTATATTTAATAAGCAAATATTAAGTAAGAAAAATATTTCAAAATCTATAAAAAATAAATTTTGTTAATAATCATCTCATAAAATTGTCAAAATCATTCTAAAAACATATATACTTAATAATATTGCCATAAAAACCTAAAGGGGTTAATTTAATTTTGAATAGACGAATTAAATTTTTTGATTTAATAAAATTATTCAATAATAAGAGAATAACTAATTTAAATACAATTATATGCGAATAAATACAATTAAACTTTTACTTATAAAACGATCTCCCATATAACGAAATTCTTCTTAACATAAACTGTTGCATTTTGAAGCAACATGAAGCCTTCATTAACTGAAATTCTCCTAAACTTGAACAATCAAATATTACACATCATTTTGATAAAAATTCTAAATTAAAATTGCTTCTAAATTAGCAAATATAAATTTTCTTTAAACCGAAATTTTCTCAAAATTTTAATCAAGTAAACAACCTTCTTTAACAAAAAATTTTTGATCTTTAAATTCTACGCGTATATTGATTTTCAATTTATACATAAAATTTAATAACAATTAATTTGAAACAAAATATTAAACAAACCGTTTTGTATACGTATAATTAGATTTGAAAATTATTAATTCGTGTTTTATTTTCCATGCCCCCTTAAGCCGAATTTTCTCTAAACATGAACTAATTTTATTTCAAAATGGTTAAACTGTTTTTATAAATTTGCGATTGTAATTAATTTTGTATTAAAATTTAAGTTTGAAAATAATCAACTATAATTGTACTGTGAGTTCAAAATTAAGTGAAATTCTGACAGAATAAAATCTATAATTCTTCTGGTACTTAAAGCCATTATTATTCTATATAATTCTAATTTATAACAAATCTAGTAAAAGTGATTTTATAAAATTATTTTTACTTTATCTCCCAAAACATTTCTAAAAATCTCTCAAAACAAAAATTATTTATTAAACTAACTTAATCAATAAATTTTTTGAATAGTAAAGGTCTTTTACTGCCCCTATTAATAAGTTCAATTTCTCTTTCAAGGCTTGAGTTACTGAACTTGTAGTTCCTTATAGTAACTAAGAGACATGCTAATTCTCATTCCACCTTTATAAAATAATTAATATCTGCAATTATTATTATGATCATATTTTTTATTACTTTTCTCACATTTTTCCAAAATATTTCTTTAAAATTCTTTAAATAAGTAAGTATAGTAAAAAAATTTTAAAATCATATAAAATTAAAAACCGTGCTATTTAAATAAAAACATAAATTTCAATATATGTGTACCTCTATATAAATAAAATATAAATATAAATTCATACATATATTATTATTAAACTATTAATAGTACGTACAGTACGATGAAATAGTTTTGACCTTCCTCTTTTTTTTTTGTTTTATATACCAACCACTTATAATATAGAAATCAATCTTCTTTAAATACTACTCTCTATACTCTCCCTATAATTCCTACATATATATAGCACAATATTCTTTTATATTATATAGAATGATTAATAGATATTTTTAGTTTTAAGAAATTAATCTACACGTACATAAATACTTATGTATATAAATAAATAAATAATATAAAAATAAATATAAAACATAAGAATATTAAAAATAACAATACCAACAACAGATTAACAGATGATCGTAGTAGACCCCATATCAAATGGATAGAATAAAATTATTTTATTTCAAAAAAATTTTAATTTATATTTTAATTTATATATTTATATTTCTTAACATATACATACATATATACATTAACACATATTTGTATTTAATAATATTTTTTGTCAAATGGTTTATATTAAATTTTATTTTTTTATTTTCTTGAGTAATCATCAAATTTTCTTATGTACACACGCTATTTACTTCTATAGACACAATATTATTTTTTTTTTTTCGTATTTTTTAATTATTTACTTTTTTTTCTTATTCTTATTATTTATTTACTTTTTTTTTTCTATTTACTCAAAATATCAGAAATTATTTTCGCCAACGATTTAGGCGATATTCCATCCGAAAGCGAAGACATCCCGAAAAAGACTAACTGAAAAAAATGAAATCAAAATAAAAATATTATTTTTTTTCTTTCATAATTTTCTGATGAAAAAGAAAACACAAAAAAAAAAAAGAAAATTTTAAATGTGAATTTTTGAATTGTTTGAAATTGTAAAAAACAAAAAAAAAATAAAGAAAAAATATTGTTGGATGTCCGTTCATACTCCGTGTCACTTTTAAAGCTATGATAGAATTTTTTTTCTCTGTTTTAATTGTTATTTTGTTTCGTTAAGTTTTTTTTAAAGCTTTTTGTTTTTATTTTTTATCTGATTTGCGTGTATGTGTGTGAGTATAGACAATAAAATTTTTTGCAGAAAATTATTTTGCAGAACCGTTAATATTATAAGATCTTCTTATTTCATATTATTTTAAAACTTAATGCGGGTTATTCATCATCTTATAATTATTATAAATTAATTTAGTAATAGCTATCTCTTAATATAATAATATAATGCTCTCTGAAAATTTAGAAACTCAAAAACTGATTAAAATGAGCTTGTATTAAACGAAGATTGTGAACTTTTTGTGGCTTGAACAAGGCTTGTATCTACTGCAAATTGTATTTTAAAATTTTCAATCATTTACCTGATAAATATTGCGACTCGACGGTACCTGGTATATACGGCTATATAACGGTGATATGCAAAATCGAACGAAATCATCCCGAACAAAAGTTTTTTCAAAATTCTTGAAAAGGGCCGGACCCGGAACACTTCTAACATTAAAAATCTATTGAATCGCATATCACAAAAGCTAAAAAAAAGGTAGAGGTCTTTGTAAATTAATTTTATCAAAAATGCTCGTTACCTTCTATTCTCTTACCATTAAAATACTATATTTCATTCAATACACATACATATATACACAAATGCCAATGGGAAATATCCAACAATCATGAATATCTTGCAGTAATATGCAACAAAATTAAATTTAAGAACATCAACTCGAATGACTACCTGTTTATTAATATTTATAAAGCAAAATAACTGCAATGTAACGTTTTTTTTTTAAATTAAATAACGGTAAAACTCATTATGCAGAGCACTCACCTCACACACATAGTTTTCATTCTTTTCTTCTTTGTATTTCTCCTTTTATTGTTTTCATTTTCTAAAATTCATTCTCTCTCATGTTATAAAAAGCTTTTTTATGAGAGCTAAGTGAGAGTGTTGTTTTAGTTTTTGTTATTGCGTGTGATGAGTAGATAAAAACAGACCACGTGGTCGATATCAATTCTTTGTTTACATTTTTTGTTTTGTTTCATTTTTCGAGATAGTTGATAAAGTTTTTCTGTCATGTTATTCTTTTCTTTCAAAAATATATTAAATTTAATCTATTTGTATAGAATTTCTTAGAAAATAAAACTAACTTCGTATAGCTTTAAAACTGTAAATATTAATTTAAATAATTTGTTTAATAAGCAACAATACAAACTGTTATATAAAAATTATACATATAATGTACATAGGTATGAACACGTATAGCTACAACTTGGATATAACGTAGGACAATATTAAATAGTAGAACGGAAAGAAAAGCGTTTTGGTTGATTTGTTACAGCTTTTTGGTGTGGCATATAATGAAAATATAGAAATTTATGTTTAATATACAAAGAGTATTTATGGGAATAATAGTATACCTAGAAAAAAATTGAGTTCATATTTTGTGCATTATGAACAAGTTAACAGTACATACAAAAACATGTATACAAATATCTGGAATGATGTATACTCAAATTTATTAAAGTGTATTTAATTCAAACGCGGGCAATTATAATTCACTGATTATAAGTAGAGTGAAGTAAATAATACCATTTATCAGAATACAAAAATTTTTCATTTTATAAATTCATTGACCGAATCTTATTATGTTTTACATTATTCATTTAATAATAATTTTCAAAGCATCTAGTTTAACAAGTTATATGATTCTTAATGAAAGTAACAGTTATACTCTTTAGTAACTGTTATACTCGTATAACAGTTCAAGTTATACAGTTATACTCGTACAACAGTTCAAGTTATACAGTTACATTCATATAAAAGTTCAAGTTATAAAGTTATACTCGTATAACAGTTCAAGTTATATAGTTATACTCATATAAAAGTTCAAGTTATACACTTATACTCATATAACAGTTCAAGTTATATAGTTATACTCGTACAACAGTTCAAGTTATACAGTTATATTCGTATAACAGTCCAAGGTATACAGTTATACTCGTATAACACTTTAAGTTGTAGAGTTATATTCATATAAAAGTTCAAGTTATGCAATTATACTCGTACAACAGTTCAAATTATACAGTTATACTCGCATAACAGTTCAACTTACAAAGTTATCCCTATGCAGCAATTCAAGTTATACAGTTATATTTGTGTAACAGTTCAACTTTTCGTTGTAAACAAAGTTTATCCTCGGGATCCAAAGTCTGTATAAAAGTTAAACAATGATAAATAAACTTCTAAATTTCTTTTTATTAAGGAAGATGAAATTCAGTAATTTTTTAAAATTCAAGTTTTTAAAAGCATTTAAAAGAAAAA